TCAAAATAGTTCAAATGCCTAGAATAGTACCTAATTCATATTAGCCATTCAAATACATTAAATTAAATGAACAAGTAACTAGCTAGCACTGTCTCCTACCTCCACTATGACAAGCTGACCTGTTTCTGTAAACTCAACAAAACTCAATTCTTTATCCTTTTATACACTGTGTCAAGACACTCTTAACAAAACGTTCACTATGCAGTGGAGATGATGCTATTCTCTGGGCTGGATCAGCAAGTCACTTAGGAAAATGGTAAGAGTATGGGAATGAAGGAGTCCAGATCCTTGAGATATGACATTTGTGCTTGCTGGATACTTGCCCAGAAGTTCTTGAAGGTGGTCTTTTGGGGAAGCACAGTTTCAATAATATGTGTGATTTGGAGGGAGAGTTACCAATCAGGGAGAAAGTGTAGGTACATTTGTAAAACCAGTCCCAAATCTGGCAAGCAGGCTATAAAGAGCCAAGAGGAAAATTCCCCACCTAGAAGCACTAGGGAACACTGCAGCCTTCCTCCCACAACTCGTTGTTTGGAATAGTATGTCCTTTGCTCTTCTGACTGCTCCTTTGATATTGTAAAAATGAAAAATTTGGTTTTTAAAAGTACAATTTTTTTGGCGGCTGGAGAGAAGGCTCAGTAATTAAGAACATGTATTGCTCTTACAGAGGATCCAAATTTGGTCCCCAGCACTCATGCTAGGGTGGCCCACAACTGCCTGTAAATGCCGGTTTCAGGGGATCTGAGGCCTCGGGCCTCTGTGAGCCTTATTATGCTCATGTGCACATATTACTCTTCCATAATAAAATAATATATATTTTTAAAATTTAAAATTACATTTATTTGCTTATTTATCTCATGTGGTTGTGAGGAGGTGAGGTGAATGTGTAAGTCAGAGCACAACTTGTAGAAGTAGACTTTCTTCTACCATGTGGGTCCTGGGAGTTGGTTCTTTCCTTTACCATGCAGGTCCCAGGGATCAAACTCAGATTATCAGTCTTGGTGAAAAGTACCTTTACCCACTGAGCCAGCTCAGTGGCCCTGATAAGTCTGTTTTAAGGTCCACTGTGTAAAAAGCAAATTACAAAGAAAATGCTTATTTATGTACTTAAATTCATATCAAAATGGATTTTTCCCATAGCTGGGACAAAGTACAAGTCAAAATTTTCCAATGTGATGTATAATTTGGTTTCTACTAAAGAAGCCAAAACAATATCTCACTAAAGGCAAAATAATTGCTCACTTTGCTTAGGTGAGTAATTTATTAAAATAAGTCAATTTAGTAATAATCACTAAATAACAGTACCAAAGATGAATCTGTTCAATGAACAAACAGTGTCAGGTGATGTACAGTTTTGCTGCTTATATAAAACACAAATTGGGGCTGGAGAGATAGATGGCTCAGCAGCTAGGAGCCTCTTGCAGAGGGCTTGGGTTCAATTCCCAGCACCCACACAGTGCCCAACAACCCTCTGTAACTTCAGTTCCAGGGGATCTGACGTCCTCTTCAAGACTCCATGGGCACTGAATGCATGTGGTGCACCAACCAAGCAGACAAAACACTCATACATTACACATACATACATACATACATACATACATGCATACATGTTGTCTGTGTGTACACGGGTATGTGTCTGTGTGTGTGAAGCACAGCTAGAGTACGACCTCCCATTTCTCCTGGCTTCTCAGCTATTCGCTGCAACTGCTCCCAAGTCCCTACTCCATTGCAAGACTAAAGCAACTCAGCTCAGGCACACAGGGTTCCATCAGGGAAGCAGAACCACTGGGGATGTGCTGAATGAGGAAATTTGTCAAAGGACGTAGTCCTTGCACTTGTGGGAGTTGGAGAAGTCTGCAAAGGAAAGTTGAAGGATTAGAGACCAGCCTTGACACAAAAAAGGGAATCCAAACTAGATGGTAATCAAGAAACTAGGGACATCTAGCAGCTATGGTGAAACCACAGAGGGGGCTGGCATAGTCATCTCCAGAAGGCTTTTGGGACTTTGTGGCCACCGCCTTTGTGAGTTTCTGTGAAGTCGCTAACTGGCCTATGGTCACAGTTATTCCATAGAGAACACTGAACAGGGAAGAGTGAGAACAGAAGCCTGGTGGGTCTCATCACATTGGTTACAAATGGTGTTGTCTCTTTGAACCAATGATGACAAAAACGCAGTGCTGTTGTGTCACTTTTGCTTCTCAAGTATCAGATGACTTGACTTTTGCTAAAACAAATACAGACCTGTAAATACACAGGAAAGGAGATTTAGAGACTCATAGTTCCCAGAATAATCAAGTCACTTGAAGAACAATCCAGCCCAAGTACAATATTTTGACTACAAAGCATGGGATTTAATTCTTTTGCATGTACCTAGAGGGTCCTATGATTCACTCTGGATTTGGGGAAAACCACTGAAAGATGGAAGATGAGAAGTGGCTTGCTGGCAGAGATCTTCTTTGGCTCTCCTATAATGGACTGTCCTTGGTCACAGATTTCAATAGCACCATTCTGCTTACAGAATGGCTAAACAGCTGGGCAATCTCTTCAGGTTCAAGTATAGGCTAGATTCCTAACATCACTGTTTATTTCCTAGTCTTCCCTGTCTCACCTCCATATTCCTTCACCTGATGCCCTGAGGTTGCATCTTCCAGTGAAGCATTAATACTTCAGTCTTCTTAATAAACCCAGATAAAATAGCAATAAAAACTGCAATGAAGGGTGGTCATGGCGGTGCATAACTTTATATCCTAGTACTTGGGAGGCAGAGGCAGGCAGATCTCTGTGAGTTTCTAGGCCAGCCTGGTCTACATAGAGAGTTCCAGGCCAGCTGGGGCTACAGGGAAACCCTGTCTCAAACAAACAAACAAACAAACAAACATGCGAACAAACAGCAACAACAAACAATCCCCGAAACAAAAACACTAGAAAAAGAGCCTGGAATGAAAATGAAGCATGATTTGGATCAATTGATGGGGTGGGGGAGTCATATGAGGCTCAGTTCATTTGCATGTAATAGAAATTATAGGATTGATAGCACTGAGTATTTGAGAACATTATCTTCCTTCAATGAAAGTCTATGAATACGTATTTCTCTTAGACAAACAAAAGAGACGGATTATGGAAGCAGAGATCCTTTTAGCCAACATCCAACTTACGATTTAAACTCTCAGCAAGAATATACAAGTAATGAAAACACTGCTCCCTGGCAGTTTTCTAATCAATAGTCCATAGCTGAAGAACAGCAAAAAGCCCGTTACTCATATTTACATGTCTCTGCCAGTCTGAGTTTTCTAAATATTGTGCTATACAGAGTGGAGAACTGCCTTGGTATACAGCTCTACACATCCACCTCCCTTTAATCCACCACTCTCCTAGATGGATGTGTAGTGTCATTACATCTTATTTGACCATTAGTCAGCAAGACAGGTAGGAGACTTTTCCCTCTGATGTATAAAATTTGTTTTCAAAATAATACAACACACAGGTACTATGGAAGAGAATAAAAAGGACACAAGCATTCTTATGATAAACCATGAGGTGTACGTTTGTATAGTTTCCCCACTTCCTCACCTCCATAGTTTATGATTCTGCTAATAGGGAGTCAGTGCGAAATTTTGAGAAGAACGTTTTAAGGTAAAGACTGAGAACGCTCTTGTTTCCTCTCACACTATGGTATTTTTCATGTGTGCTTTGTGTGTGTGAGAGGGAGAGAGGGAGAGCAGAAGGGAAGGGGGGAAGAGAGAGGAGAGAGAGAGAGAGAGAGAGAGAGAGAGAGAGAGAGAGAGAGAGAGAGATTTATCAGAGTTTCTGTCAGTGGAACCCAGATGCCAGGTGGAAAGGGAGCTATGATGGAGTGAAGGTCAGTCACCTAAGGGCTCCTTTGTGGAGACTGTCTGCACAGGGCACGGTTAGGGTGAGACTTCCCTGTGTCACTGGGCCTAGCATCTGCTATTTTATGACCTGCCTGCTCAAAATGGAAGAAGCTAATCTCAAAGACTGAGAAAGTGTATGTAGGAAAGGGTACATATAGCTGTCTCAGCAAATCAGGATTGTGTCAGCACAGCGAATGCCATTAAAGTTGTCTCAATGGGGAGCAAGATCTTCATCTTTTAAAGGTACCCTCCATCCAATTCAAAACACCTAGAGCGCCCGCAGAGCACCCCAGCATTGCTGTCATAGTTCCTGCTTGGCACAGTCAACTGTTCCCTAAATTCGCTCCCCTGAAGATGTAGATGACAGCAATGTCTTGACTTGCGGACATTTCTTGAGTTATTCTTTTTCGGAAGAAACGTCTGTGAAAATATTTTAATTACTCCGACCCTCCTTGCAAATTTGCCTTTTGATCAACCTGCTCCTGGACACAGGCCAGGAACCGCTTAAATGTGGAAATTTCTAGGTAGGAGGGATGCAAGGAGGTGGCATTGACCCTGCGAGGCTCTGCCAGGAGCTTCAAGAAGCCCGTAGCCCTTCTTTTCACACTCCCGTGTCTCTCCAGGAAGTTCCTGGGACAGGGAGCAGGCACTTTAGTGTCGGTTGAACGAGAGCCTCAGAAGGGCGCGGAGGGCTGGGGGCTTGGCTGCATGGAGGAGAGGCCGCCAGGCTGCAGCCTCCTGGTGAAGATCTCTCTCAAGGCCGGAGGGGCCGAGCTCCAGGGCCTGAGCGTTGGCTCATTCTCGGCCTCTCCATGCCAACCCTGCGCGCCCACCTCGGCTGGACTGGCCTCTGCCGGCTTTGCTACCGCCTGGCCCCGGTCTCCCCGAGGCTGCTCTTCGTACTCCATGGATTCCCATGGAGGCCCGGCTGGGGTCAACCCAGGCTACAGGACCGCGGGAGGTGGGCGCGGTGAGTGTGCAGCCGCGCAATGCGCGGATAGCGTGGAGACCGCGGGATCCGGCCGCCGGTGGCTCGGAGCGCACCGAGCCAGCGGGCTAGCGGGAGCCGGGGGCGGGGAGCCCGGAGCGCCGCCCCGCCAGCGCGCCCCGCCCGTGGGAGAGGAGGGGCTGCGGCGCGGAGGACCACTGGAGGCGCCGCGCCGCCGTCCGCGCTGGAGACCGCAGCCCGGCGCAGGCGGCGCCCGTCCTCCGCGCCTGGCGAGCCTCCGCCGGCCAGTGCGCCCTGCTCCCGCCGGGGCCCGATCCTTCCCCGCGATCGGCGGCTCGCCCTGCAGGTAGGGGTCCTGGGTGCGGAGCGGACGCCGGGGGAGGACACCGCCTTATCCACAGCGCGGCCCCGGGGTATTGTGCGCGTCCAGAGGGCCGGGACCCCGGGAACGCGCCGTGGGCAGCTGCAGCCCCGGTCCCGGAGCCATCGCGGTCCCCGGCAGCTCCCCAGCCGGGTGGCCCCGGGCGACCCCGGACGGCAGGGGAGTGAGGGCGGTGGATTGGTCTCTAACGCGGTCTGGATGGGAGGGGGCGCTGGTGTCAAGCTCCCCGCGCCTACCCGGCATTCCAGCCTCCTGGCACCCGCACCCCCCCCCCCCCCCCCGCGCGCTCCTCGGTGCCCACTGCTGGAGCTGGCAGGGGATGGAAGCTGGGGCAGGAAGGACTGATGTAATTGTCGGCGGAGAACCGAACCCGTGCGGGTGAAAGCGCCAGCGCCCGCGCGAGCTGACGCCTACGCCGTACTTCTCAGGGAATCCGAGGACCAGCTAGTAGCGGCTGCGAAGTTGTGCATTGGTTTCGCGGTGCGCGTGCACTGCGGACTGCCCTCGCCGGCCACCCCTAGCTAACCCAGGCTGGCGTCCCTGCAGCCCTCCCTGCAGCCTGCGTCTACGCTGCCGGCTCGGGCTTAAGCTTCCTTCCCGGGTTCAGATCCGGACAGGGTTTGCATTGCAGTCAAGACGTGCTTCCCCTGCGGCGAGCCTGGAGCTGCCTGCAATCGCGTCGCGGGGATGCTAGGGGAGGAGGGGATGGGAAACCTGGTGAGGACGCTGGGGAGAGCCGATCACACCAGCAGATTTTCAAAAGCCTCTACTCTATATACACGCACCCGCACGCCACGTCCTAAGCTGTTTTTGAAAGTTATGGCCAGATACTGATTTGGTGACAATTCTGTGATCTACCTTAGGGTTGTTGAAACTAGAGACCCAAAGCTGGGGAAAGCATTACATAATGGACATTCAAACAGCAGGAAACTAAGCGGACAGACCCACTGGGTTGCCAGATTCTCTCTCTCCCGGACAGAAAGTCCTATAAGGCTTTTTCTTTATAAGAATTTCCATTTTTAAGTCTCTGGGATGGATTTAATACATTATATATTATATTTGATCTTTCCCCTGAACAGCAAAATCATTGTTATTGATCATCTTTTCTTAAATTTAAAAATTGCATATTAATTGCTAGTTAAAAATCACAGAACTGGTTAAGAAATGTAATATTCAAAGGCAAAATTAAGAAATTTCCCATCTTAAAAGTATTAAACTTTGTTTTCTCTTGTTTAGTTTTTGCATATATATATACTTTGGAAGCATTTCTGCAGTTCTGGGAACTGCGAGTTCACTATGTTGGTATTTCTATCCAGCGCTACAGCATTGCAGGTACAAAGACTAATAATAAATGAAACAGAAGACCTCGCCGTATTCTGGGAAGGAACCGGTTCCCAAGGTCGAAGGGAAGCTGCAGTGTAAGAGCTATAATCACCTACAGAGAATGTGCATGCCTCTTTGGGTTATAAGGAAGGCCCTGATTGGTGGAATATTATTCCTATTTTCTTTGCAGCCAGATTTGATGTATTTTACCCTAAAATGTTTTTCTTAAGATTACAGAGTATTTTGAAATTTAAAACCGTTGCTTTGAGCAGGCCTGAAAATCCTGTTTCTGCCCAGATTTTCAGTTGTGATGTTGGTGACTTAATTATACATTCAGTGAATAGACTGCTTTGGGGGATACTTCCATTTCAGATTATGATGATTATCAGATGTCTCTTGGCTTTAGTATATTGTAGTTCTGTTGGATTTTGCAGGATCACATAATGCATGTTGTCTTATCCCTACTTTTCTTCAGTAAGGATAATGACCTTTCAAGATGAAATATTTTTGGTGGTGCTGTAGATGGATACTAAGTTATGTGAAACTATAAGTAGACAAAAGTTTCATCTGATTACTCATGGAGTTGTTGACTAGGAGATTTCATTTTATTAAATTCCTTGGTTAACTAGCATTCCGTGTTCAGTTGCTGATCCCTTACTGAGCACCCACTTTATTCCAGACACTGGTCTAGACACTGGCAGGGTGAAAGCCTGATCCTGCCCTTGTGTCTGCTTTAAGAAAGCTAAGTATAAATTGTCAAAAGAGAGTTTTTAACTGCATAAGTTAAGAAGTAATTATTATACTTTATAAATCTTGGACAAGTTTCTTACCATCCCTTGTTTCTCTTCTTTGATCAGCTCCACTCACTGTTATATCACTGAGATTCACTCATGTTGTAAGTAGTGGTAACTCACTGCTGTATCATGTCCATGTGTATCCCATAAAAAATAGGTTTGTCTGTTTCCCAACAAGTGGCTACTAGTTTTTTCTCATTCCCCCAAAATTGCAATTTTACTACGATCATTCATATTTCCTGAGGTGCATGTGCAGGCATTTCTCCTGGGTTAATACTGAGGAATAGAATTGCTGGTTTGTAGAGATGTATTCAACTTGCCAAATGTTGCCAAGACTAGTCCAAGACAAGGGAGCCAGGGAAATAGGCAAACACAAATAAGCAACTACAAACAAACTTCTTTTGCATATATCTGATGAAATACATATTTTTAAAAGCAAAAAAAAGGATGATGAACATAAAACTTAAGATGTCATCAGTAAGATGACTCAGCAGGCAAAGGTGGGCAGGCAGCAAAGCCTGATGTCATGAGTTCTATCCCCAGGACCCACATGATGAGAGAACTGACTTCCACAAGTTGTCCTTTGACCTCCATATTCACACCATGAGGCACATGTCACCCCTCACAAGTACAAGCAAATAAAAACCTTAAAGAAATGTAAGGATGAGAGTTGCCTTGGGAGGGATCAAGGAGATAACCACAGGTGAATATAAGCTAAAGTTATAGGTAATGGTCTTAATATGGTGCTGAGTTCATAGGTGATCATTATATTAAAAAAAAGAAAAAGAGGGTCTTATGTTTTATGAAAAGGTCTTAGAAGAATCAGTGATGATGATTTCAAAATTCCTGGGAAGAAGAAAGCAAGGATGGTAGAGCTGTCCCAAGATAATAGGCTTCTGTGGCAAAAGACCTAGAAGATGTCATTGAAGGACAAGCCACAGTCCCTCTGTTTATGCACAAATTGCCAAGAGTTCATGAAGGAGGTTTGTCGGAAGAATGAGCAGGAAGTAGTCATGAGAGGAGAAGAGCTATTTGGGATGGAGGAAATGATAGGACCACGAGAGGTGGGAGGCACGGGACAATTTCCCAACAATGAATCACTCTAGGTGTTGTTAAGTCTAGGGTGGAGGGTAGAAGAGATTGAAGGTAGGAACCCTGGTTGGCTGCCAAATGAACTGAGAGTAGTCAGGTTTGGAGCAAATGAAAAAGACTGAGTTGATTTTAAAAATACTGAGAAAAAAATCCAAGCCTTGTGATCCTAGATAAGGAGAGGAAGAAAGAGGCAGAGATATTTGACTAAGTAAAGGAACTAGAGAGGTTATGATGGGAGCTTTCAGATGTTAAATATGAAGTTAGTAGATAGCAAACTTCTGTTTGAACTTCTGTGTTCTGTTTGAACACATGGCTTGGAGCTCTCAGGAGTAGTGAGGACCTTCAAAGTTGAAGAATGGACACTGATAATGTATCTGAGTCACTGTGGAATAGTCTATGAGAGAGAATATTACAGAAAACTCATTCGTATTGTCTACTTACTGATGTAAATGAACTAAGAACTAATGGCTAAGATACTGTGATGTGTCAACATTGATGGTGAGGTAAGTTTACAGAGTTGAGGGAGTCCTGGGGTTAAATAAAAAAGATTGGGTCAGGACAGATTACTGGTGTTATATGATATGAGGGTGGGGAACTTCTGAATCTGAGTTACTGCATGCCTGAAATAAAGATGCTAATAGCCACCTCACAAGGGTCCAGGAACCTTTAGGTTTGCTTTCATATTGTTGCCAATGAATATTGCCAGATATGGACATGTGCATGTATATTCTCTCGTCATACCTCTGTCACAAGTATACAACCCTCTGAAGGTCTGCTCATTGTAACAGAGAGTTGCTTGTGCTCCCTTGTGGAGACAGGGATGCCAGATATTTATTAGTTTCCTTGTTCTAACAGGTTCTAGCTATGTAGCTCAGGTTGATCTTGAACTAATTATGTAGGTCAGGCTGACCTCCTTCACAGTTCTCCTGCCTCAGCTACCTCACTGTTGAGTTACAAGCATTTGCCACCATTGCCTGCTCACACAGGGAATTTCTAAGGATATTGTGGAATATTTATAATGTCATTTTGACTGCGTATCATTTTAGGTGGTTATTTTATAAGTATTGGGATAGGTTTCCTGCATTATAAGTTCCCTAATTCCTTTTCTGAGTTTCTATTTCTTAGTATCTTTTTGTTATCTCTTTTCTCACTGGTTTTCATCAGCTGTTACACTAACTGGTGACCGTGTAGTAATTTTCTCTGACATAACCTAGTTTTCAGTTGTCTTACCCTGCCATAGCAGTTTGGAGAATATATTGCTTATAGTTCTAATAACGGTTAATGGAAATGTGGCAGATTCTTTGATTTCAAAAAAAAAAAAAATACTGACCTCCCAAGGGAATGAAGCTTATTGTGAAAAACCTCATTGCAGCGTAGGAGCCAGTGGCCTCCATGATGGAGGATGATATCCACATCCCTGCCTTCAGCTGTACCTTCTTCACATAACTTAAATTGATAGGTCTAATGCTTTGAAATCCAAAAGGGAATTAACCCTGGTTATGAACTAAACCCTGGTTAATGAACTAAAGGTAATTTTAGGGATAACTAAGGGTGAATGTGTAGTGCATCTAAGTTAGTGAAACTGGGCATCTGCCATTCTGGACTTTTACATCTATTCCTTCCATTATCCAACCCAGGCTGATCACTTCCAGAGTGATCTGGCCAATGTCTGGGTCTCATGCCAAGGTGACATGGCCATATCAAGTGCCTTTCTTTTCATAGACCTAAAGTTAACCGAACATCTACTATGTGCTA